GAGGATACCCATTAAGTTCAACCCGCTATTGAAGTCCCTGTACAACACCATTGCTAAACAAAGAAATGTTAACATAGCATACAGAAGATGCAGCACCTTGTTTGACATCCTACGTAATGAAAAAGACGGACCCAGGATGGAGAGGATATCAGGAGTATATAAAATTCCTATAAGGGATAACAGGTTCAACAGAGACCTGGTATATGTGGGATCAACTAAACGCTCGTTAGAGGTTAGATTAAAAGAACATATTTCGGATATACAGCACAACAGGCACACAACCTCACTCTCCACATATGCCACTGATCCCGAAATAGTGGCGGACTTCAATGCAGCACGGATAATTGCCTCCACACCACATATTCACCAACTAAAATGGCTAGAAGAGATGGAAATTTTTAGGGCGTATGACAAATCCGAGTGTATTAATTCAAGAGAAGAGATCAGCCTTTCCATGGCGTGGCAAAACCTACTCCATAAAGAGTGATAACGAAATTATATTGAGCCTTAAAAATAAATGATATTAGGGAACACGAGAATATTAAATAATCTTTATATCTCAATAACATGTTTTGGATCGTTCTCTTAAATTTGAACATCGACTGTCAAAATAGAACAATTTCAATCATATCACGTGACGGATTAAGCGAATGGAACGATTCAAGTTCGAATTCATTCAATTTTTTGAAATCGCTATTCGATCCAGCTGTTATCCTGATGAAGAACCCAGAAGGGGTTAATGACTTTTTGTTAATAGACTCATTATTTTCAAATATTTGGATCATTTCCTAACTAAGAAACAATAAACAGTCATGTGTATCAGGCTTTTGAGGAATTCCTCATCATATTGCATGCAGTTTGTATTCATTCTCTCATTACTTGTGAGCAAAGGTGGATAGATGCTGTTGATGATTATCTTGATTAAAGTGGTAAATCATTTATCATGTTTCTTTAAGTTGTAAATATACTCTATAAAATTAGCCATTTAAGTTAAACATTACACCTTTGTCAATCCAGTAAAAATTTAATATAATAAAAACGTTTTCAATCATTTTAAATGATCTTCATCAGTTACAGAAAATAGAACATTAAAATAGAACATAAAATGATTATGGAATAAATATAAAAATTAACGGAAGATATCCTTGCAGATTAAATATGGATAAATAAAATATCATAAATAAGGAAAAAGTATAAATATAATACAGTAATACCCCAAACTTACGCGATAGGTGGGACCGAGCGATGACCACGTAAGTTGAATTCCTGTAAGTCAGGGTATAATTTCACAATTTGTGTAAAAGCCAAGTGGGATGTATGTAAGCTAATAAATGTTCTTGTTAATCTTATCTCGTCTTTTGATTTGTTCACGGTTACAAGAAATCATCACATAGTCTCTCAAGTCTCCGTAGATATAACAAACACAGAAATAAATAACATAAAATAAATTGTAGCTATGTGTCGATTCCGCGCGACACATCCGAACATGTAAGCTGAACAATAGTGTGGGGGGGAGTGAGTAATCAAGAGCTGTGTGGTGCTCAAACAAAAGACGAATCGACGAGATTTGAAAATCGCATAACTCTGGGTTCGCGTAAGTCGAGGTATTACTGTATATAATATCACCTTAGTATTATTAATTATTGTAAAATGACCTCCAAGTGGTAGATAATGCATCTGCATCTCTGTGGTTTATACAACCAGTTCTCAAGTGCACCTTGTATATTTCCAATTTCTCAAGCTGTTTCACTGTGTATCTATTCGTCGTCGTTTTGCTAATAACTGCCTGATCCCATTGGACATTGACATCCTGTTGTCTTGCATATGTCATTAGAACAGTGCTGTCAAGATTCTTATTGATTGTATACCTGTGTTCCTTGAGTCTTTGTTTTAAATTGCACATAGTTGCACCCACATAAACAAGGTCGGAATTGAATCGCTGGTCGTGTAAAGGCATCGAATAAACACCTGTCCTTGAATTCCAATCCTCCTTCATTTTATGATTTCTTAAAAGCCTGAAAACAGTGGGATTATGTCGGTATACAATATGAAGATTATTAGCCTTAGCAATGTAATTTAGCACCATTCTTTTTGTCTGGTCCACTCTAGGAGAATGCCGTGTTGTGGTTTGGAAGAATGTAATAAGCTTCTCTATTTCCCCCCTCTGGTATCCTCGTTGCTCAGCTTTAATATAATAATATAATTTAATATAATAAAAACGGTTTCAATCATTTATAATGATTGAAAATGTTTGTTTTTATTATATTAAATTTTTGCTAGATTGACAAAGGTGTAATTTTTAACTTAATTCTTTATCCACTATATAGTTTATCAGCCATTTATTTTTAATTTCAGAAAAATTAAAATGTTATTTGATATTTAAATAATATATACTCAGTAAATAAGATCACAAATATAAACATCACTCACAGAATCAAAAATCTAGCACAAAAAACAAGTAAATGAAAAGTGAACAAATGTTTTCAATATAATAATCCGATGATCACCTAAATATTTGGGCTATAATATGGCTCTAATCAAATAATTAATTCAAACAAATTTGGTACTAGAGGTAAGCATTAAGTGTCCTCTCTTATATAAATTAATAATTATAATTTTAATAATTTAATAAATAATTTAGAACCTTCTGGAAGAAAATAACTGACTCAGGGCAGGGGTTGAACCGCAGCCGCCTCTTGCCATACGGTATGCTCCAGGCGATTGTTGGATTGTTATATTAACTCATCGGGCTTTGAGATGTGTATTATATGTATGCTTTTAATTACATTGAGCAACCATTGTCAGGTTAAAAGAATGTTTTGGAGCAAAAAATGGAATGTAAGCTGATGGTTGCTCAAAGCAATTGAAAACATCAGTTCACTTTTCATTTATTTGTTCTTTGTGCTGAAGTTTCTGTAAGTTGATGAAGTGGGTGTAATTTAATAAAATAGAAGATATAAATAAACCTTTTGAACAGATACAAAATTAAATCATAATAATGTGAGATGATATTAAATTATAAAATAACAGTTGTGTATACTTGATAATATATAATTCCAATTTTTGAATTGCAAAGAAAGTATGACTGTAAAGTTAGGAAAGTTTTATCGTTTTAATATGATTATTTTTTGCAGACTGATTACCTAAATTAAAGAGAGAGAAAAATTAATTTCATTTATCTGATCCAAATTGAATATTTATGATTAGACTAACTATAGTTGAGTTCACTTAAGAAGATAAGGATCAGTTCGCTTAAGAGAACACTTGTATTCTTCCCCATTCCTAATTTTCTCCCCAGTATTTTAAATGTAATAGGACTCCCATTAACAGCCCAGACAGTAGAGCAGTTCATTTAAACAAGTTCTGTTTTGGTGGTTTTTTAGAACAGTAGTCAGAATAACAGCACTGTTCTAAGGAAGACTTATAAGGTTCTCTCTTTAATCATGTGATATATCACCACCTGGGATGCATGATGATACGGCTCACTACACTACAGTATTTGTTGAGATTTGTTGAAATATGCCATATGGTTAAAAGCAAATGAGTAGAGAAAGATGAAATTGAATGAGACAAAGACCAAACAGAAATTTTTTACAAATTGCCAAACTCTGTTTCTCAGAAAAATGTATCATTTTATTTTAAGCATTGTGAGAAAATATTTAGAAAAAGTTTTGCTAAATAAAATACATTTTATGAGATTGAAGAAAAGATTGAAAAAAACTGCAAGTAGTAGTATCGATAAAAAATTATGGACTTCTTTCAGTAAATGTTTTTAGCTTGTTTATTGCACAAACAGTTGCAGTAACTCATGTTTGTACTGTGAACAACCTCCTGGGTGATCTTGTTACTTTGGATAAGAGAGCAGTCCAGATAAGGGAGCATAGGGCAGCAATCCTGAGGGTTCTTTCTTAAGTGGACTCTACTGTATAATAGTGCTGTGAATGTTCTTCAAAACATATTATATTACTAGCAGGTGGGCCCAGCATTGCTCGGGCAAAAGTAACGATAACTAAGATAAAGATTATTACGTTACAGTCAACCTTACCCGTTTTCACAGAATGCAAGAATTGGGTCCCCTTGTTTCCAGACTAATTAGAGAATTTTTAGATGGGTCTAAAAATATGTTCGATTTCCCGCAAAAATGAAAAAAACTGCATCTGCGTATCGCACGTCGCTTTCTCTTAACAATTCCATTGTTACGTAACAATTCCATTGTTGACATTTCCATTGTTACTTAACACTTCCATTGTTACTTAACACTTCCATTGTTATTTGGCACTTCCATTGTTACTTAACACTTCCATTGTTGATGGAAGTGTTAACACTTAATCCTGTCTCTCTCTCCCCCGTGGGGAGGAATTTCGAAAAATCCCTTCTTAGTGTGCGTTTTCGTGACGTACCCTATGTGTGTACCAAATTTCAACTTTCAACTCCTAACCGTTTGGGCTCTGCGCTTATTATTATTATTATTATTATTATTATTATTATCAACCCATCTCGATTATATATTAGATATAATATAGTAAACTACAGAAAGAACCATAATTAGATTTTTTATTATTTTTTCAGCTTGGTTGCTGTTGTGGTTGCCGTACCTGTCGTTTATGTTGCAGAATTTGCCCAACAGTTAATGAATCTACTTCCACACGTCTCATGTACACACTATTTTTATTATTTAGTGCAATTGTTATGTCTCTTATGCTAAGTCATGAAATTCAGGAAAAAATTATTGAAAAAGTAAAGTTCAAATTGAGTAAATCATTGTTTCTGATATTTTTTATATTCTGTTTATTATTTTATTCTTTTCCTTTACAGTTTCCATCATACAATGTAACTTGTGTGGCAATCAGAGCGGGTGAAAACTGCCAGTTATTAATAGGATATTTGGCCGTTTACCGAGTTGCTTTCACCATGGCATCTTTTTTCTTTTTATTGGCAGTATTAACAATAGGAGTCTCTACTAGTCAGAGTTGGAGAGCAGGTGTACATAATGGGTAAATATTTATCTAGACCTACATAATATAACCATAGCTCCATTTAATAGTAAATTGTAAATCTAATTATTACTGGTAAGTTATTTTTGGGTTACATTTAAATTAATATTTTATGAATTAAATAATGAAATTTGTCCTAAAGATAAACAGTTATATAGTTTAAATTTTATTAAATTAACTAATGAAAAATTAGTCTAAAAGTAGCTTGAAGATAGTCTGTTAATTTAGATTTATGATTTACTAGATTTAAAGTCATAGCTTAAATTTGAATTTTAAATTATATTAAAATTCAAATATAAGTTTAAGAGAGTACAAAAAACATGAAAAGTAATTTACATTAATTTAATTTAATTATTGTTTTATTGTTAAATTATTAAAAACTTGTTTTGTAACATTGACTAGTATTTTTGAACAATAGTATAATTTTTTCAATTCTTTTAAATGTTTTTCAAGATAATAGATCTTTCATTGACAGAAGCCGACTTTCTTTGTTAATTTTCTAAATAAAATGAATTCAATACTTTAAATTTTACAATAGCTGAAAATAAAGATTGATGCATGGAATGACAAAGAAATAACACAAACACTATATAAGATATAAAATCCATCATCTAAATATTGTTAAATTAAAAATACAGTCGTGCACTTAACAGAACATCGGATCAGGGAGCAGTTTTCTTACGAGAGTACTCGTTTTCATGTTCCTGTACGTTTTACATGTAGCAGGACTCCAATTAATAGAACACTGGATAGCAAATTAGTCCATTTAAACATGTCACTGAAACCTGTTTCTCATAAATATCATTGTTTTATTTAAGTATTGTGAGAAAATATTTAGAAGAAAATTTTATTGAAATTGAGATGATTCAGAAGAAAACTGCAAGTAATGGTATAAAAAAGAAAATTACAGACTTCTTTGAACCCTTCTCAGTCAATGTCATATACCATATGTTTATATGCAGTGATTGCTTTTTAAGCTTTGATGTATGTCATGTTTGATGTGAAAAATGCTCTAGAAATTTTTATTTTAACCTCTCTAATGCATTCACTGTTGTTAAGTGTTTATTTCACTATTTTTTCCAATAGATGGCAGTATGTTACAAAAATCATTCTGCTGTTTTTGGTGGGAAAGAGGCTGTCCATAAATTACATCCACATTTTTCTTGAAGTTTTTACTCCCCCCTCATTTTCCTAGTTTGTCCAAGTTTCCATAACCTCCTCTCCTCTTCGGACATCCAACAAAACTGAAGTCCCCTCAAAATTTTTATCACTTTATGAATAATAAAGTGTATAATAAAAATGTATAAACTGTGTAAAATTTAATGAAATAAAATGGATGTCCGTTGAAGTTCACTCCCTCTCTCTACCTCCAGTATGGACGTCACTTATGGGCAGCCCCAAAATGCAGTTTATTTTTGAAATCTGCTGCATCTACGAGGGGGACCCAAAAAAAAACCGAACTGAGAGTGCACTGCCATTCGTAGATGTAGTAGAGAGTTAACCCATTACATGGGGTTAGTAGACCTTCACGAAACAGCTGTGCAAATGGCATCAGTTTGTAGGTTTACATTTGAGCGTAGTGTTGTGTTTTTCTTACTGTTATTTTGTTCCGCCTGCGTCCTTCAACATCTCGAGACGATGAAAACATTGAAAAAATGCATTAAAAAAAATGTTAAGACATCTGCGAGAGGAAGTGCGAAGGAAACGTCCGGAACTTTGGCGATCAGGTGACTGGTTCCTTCATCACGACAACGCCCCCCGCACGCATGGCCTTACGAGTGACCCACTGTTTGATCTCTCTTGGGGATGGCCTGTCATTCCCCACCCTCCATATTCACTAGACCTAGCCTTGTGCGACTTTTTTCTATTTCCAAGAATGAAGAAAAATCTAAAAGGGAAGCATTTTGATGATGTGGAGGCGGTAAAAACAACTTCGCTAAAGGCAACAACTTCGCTAAAGGCACTGGACGATATCAAGGTCGAAGAGTTCCAGAGATGCTTCAAACAGTGGGGAAAAAGACTTCACAAGTGCATCACATCTAATGGAGTGACTGAAGAAATTTTGTAAAAAAGTTAATAAATAAAGTTTTTATACAAAAAAATCCGTTTTTTTTTTGTCCCCCCTCGTATATAAGTTTTTTTGGCAGTTTTACTCTCATACAAATAATCAAAATTATTTTATTTGTGAATATTATTAATAATCATTAAATAAATATTAATTAAATAATTAAAAATAATGAAAAGAATACTGTAAGGTCTCGTTTTATGCGGTGGATACATTCTACAGAAAAGCGCATATAAAAAATTCGCATAAAAAAAGACTTTACTTGCCTTGAAAAAGTAGGGATATGTTCCGTAATTTTCTAAAATCGCATAAAACCAAAACAACTACTTATTATAAAAATGAACAAAACACCGCTAAAATAAAATTTAATTTCAAAACAATTACAGTTTATACCTTTCAGTGCGAAACTCAGAATGATGTAATAGCGACTTGTCGATGGTATCATGTACAAGGGAAATCCCAAATTGCAAAAGCTCACTCTAAAAACAAATCACTGACATCTGGATGTGAAGAGTTAATTAATAATTAATATATGGTTGAATTTTGTTTGAAAGCTAGTTTGATCCTATTTTTATTTTGTCACTGTGAATACTTTCCAACTTAGTTATTAAACAGATTTGCTGGAATAAAAGTGTAGAATTTTACTTTAGTTTTAAATTTTCAGTTGCGGGACTCCCACTTGCTGTCAGTCAAATTGCTTTTGCAAATAACATTATTCATTTGACTAACAAAATTGTGGATATAATTGTAGTTGTGAATAGGGACCTCCCATGATTTTTCATCAAGCTCAAAGTGATGTTTTTGGTTATTCAAACACATACCTATTGTTAGGTTATAATGTTAATGGCCAACTTCCTTTTGTTTTCTGTAAGCCAGGCATTGGCCTCTTATTGGTAAGATGCAATTATCCCATTTCATATGATCAGTGCTTTCTTAGTAATTACCATACTGCTATTATATGGATAGTTAGCCTATTTACAGTGTTTGTTGTTAGATTATACATCTGTGGACATTGAAGAAGTTGAAATTAATAACCATTTGGGCAAAAAAAATTTAACTCTTGTTGAGTCTACCAATATAACTCAAAAGAATATGACAATAAACTTAATATTTTATTAAAAAGTTTAATACATCTAGTAGCTTCCATTCTCACACATTGTAGTGTATGAAAGTGCATCAAATTGGTGTCAAAATTCACACAAAATCCTTTGTTAGCAGATAAACAGTTTAATTACAAATGTTTTTGGCCTTTTTTTAAAGACTATGTTCAGTTAAAATACAGAATCAAACAAAATGAAATAATAGAATGTAAAATTAATCAACCACAAACCTTTACGGTGCGAAATTAAATACAAAAATCCGGTTAAAAAGTTCCCACAAACGTTTTCGAACCCACTTAGGTTCTTCTTCAGGTGAAAAAACTTAAATACTCAAAAAACATTCGATGGAATCCAAATTTGAATGAGAAACGATCAACTAATACGATGAATTCTGCCGCTGTCGTCATCAATACGCATGCGTATTTTACCGATGTAAACATTTTTCTTTTTATAGAATATTTTCTCTGTCCTGTATAAGCATTTCCCACGCTAGGGATAGAGATAATTCCTCCTTATTATTAATGCACCTGTTGTTTCGGGCCGCTTTATATATAGACATTGCCTCTATCCATCTTAGATGTTCCGTATGTGGTGTGGTGTGNAGTTTTTTCACCTGAAGAAGAACCTAAGTGGGTTCGAAAACGTTTGTGGGAACTTTTTAACCGGATTTTTGTATTTAATTTCGCACCGTAAAGGTTTGTGGTTGATTAATTTTGCGTTAATACGGTGTTGTGGAGAAATTCAGTAATAGAATGTAATATAAAGTCTTAGAACAGCAAATACCAATTAATTTAAATTTTAAAAATCCAGCAACAAGTTGCTTAACTTTCCTGGTAACATCTGGTAGTGCCATCTGTCATAATATTTTATTTAAAAAACTTTTTATATTTTTAACTATTATAAAATGGCAAAAAGCTTAATTTTGAGTGTAAGGATAAAATTTGAAGGTTTTATAAAAAAAAATTGTAAATGCTAATAACAAGTAAAATAATCATTAAGTTTGACCCTACTGGAGATATACACGCAACTGCCTTTATCTCTCTTGACCTTTAATCACCAAAATTTAGTAGCATCAATTCCCCTAATAAACAAACCAACCAGCAAAATTTCAGAAATTTTTGACAAAAAGTACAGGAGTTATTAAGCTTCAAAGAGAGTGAACAAAATCATGCCACCCCACACATACCCATACATAATGAAAAACCCCTAAAGTTTTTGCATTTCTTGATGTTATTTTAATGTCCCCGAGTCCAAAAATGCAAAAATCTGGGGATCATGTTTTGACCAATTGCCATACTTTTCCTCTGTTATATATAACAGAGCCAGAAAGTAAAAATTAAAACAAAAGAATAAAAATAAAATATGGTAAACAAAAATTCTTTGTAGGTAAATGCTCCATCTCATTTCACAGCAACTATCACTTGCTGACTATCAAATGTTTGGGTATTTCAAGTTTTCATTAAAATCAGAAAAATACCAATTTTCACAAAATTTGATAGATTTTGTTAAAATTAGCATTATAGAAACTATATATACATACTATACGTACACTATACACAGGTGGCCAAAAAAAATTTCATCACCCCAACATTTTCTGAAAGACTGATACAATTACACAGTAACTTGACAAAGTTGAATCAGCTATTGATTAAATTGTGTTTTACACCACCTGTAACATTATGAGTGATTGTATTGTCCTTTTGGTTGTATAAAAGTGCTGTGGAATGACCAAGGTTGGACAACCCCACTAAATATTAGTGCTAGCAGATATTATTACCATACACATTTTCACTTTTGATTCAAATTTGTTGTTAACTTCTCCTTTTGTTCATAATAGATACAACAGTAAACTTGTCTTTTACTTTTTACAAGTTGTGTTAAAAGCAATTTTATTTGGGTTTAATTAATTCATTAAATAAATATGTTTAGTTTATGGATAAAAAATATCAAAATTTTGTTTTTTTATTATTTACAACAGTTCAAGGTGGTTTTATGCAGTTTTATTACTGTTTTCATTATTATCTAACACCAAATGCACTGGATGCAGCATGTAATGAAATTTTTTTACACATCTCTGTATATACATAAGAATTACTTATTTTTTCAATATCTACAGTTTCTTGCATCCAGAAGCAATCTGTCATTGTGAAATAAAATTGTGTTTCCTTGTTCAAATAAAACACAAAAATGGATCCTTGGCCGTACAGGAGATATTTTTTAGTGCCCCAGAATAATCATGTGAAAGCTTATTGAAATACATGAAATACATTTCTGAGCCTCTCCTCAATAGCTTAAAATCATTGTGGCATTTTTTTCCATCACAAAAAAACAGTAGAAATGGCAGTACTGGGAATTGATGAATTGTCACAAAATTTCTGAACAAGTGAACAAACTAAGCAAAAGGATTGGGCTGCCACATAGGGATTTAGTGAAGGAATCAAAGAGAGCAGGGGTTAGGCTACAAATTCTATTATTATTCACAAATTTATAAATTTTTGATCAAGTGTGCAAAGTCTCTTAGTAGGCCTATAACTTATTTGGTTAATTAATAAATATTAAATAAGTTATTGTTTTATTTATTTTTATTCATTTCAATATACAGGTATACCTTGCCTTACGTCGGTAATTGGTTCCAGGAGAATGACGTAAGTCGAATTTACTTGTCTCCGAATCTACTTGTCACTAGGCTAAACCATAAATTACCATTCCCGGTTCTGTATTTTATTTATTAATGCATTTTTAATAATATATGGTTAATAAAAATCTATTTTAAGCTTACAAACAAATAAATTTTAGTTTTTAATATAGTACAGAAAAAAGTATTCTAAATTTACGAATGCACGTAACGTAAATACAGAACATACTAGTATGTATTTTAATATGATTTTATGTGCTTTAAACGTTTTTCTAGTAATATTACGACTTCAATATTTGTGGTGGACAGACGTAAAGTCGAATAAAATGACTTAAACTCGATTTTTACTTTACCACATACTTTTTTGACAAACGACGTATAATCGGGAACAACATAACTCAAAACGACATAAGTCGAGGTATGCCTGTATTAATAAATTAATAAAGTAAAACAAAAAGTAAAAAGAGAAACAATTTTCTAAATTTTTGAAATGAAACTTGAAATTTTGAATTTTATGGTGTCTTCTTATTAGATACTGTTATTTTAACTATAATAGACTAACCAATAATTATATTCATTCTTTTTAAGAAAAGAAGCATTCAAACTAAAACATAGCATGTGTTATATTCCATCCACATGCTATATTTAATTTCAAACATTGTTTGAAAACATTAAATTCAATAGTTGTATTCAATATTCGCCTGATGACGATAACTTTATGCTACTGAAAATACTAGCGAACATTTTCATTTGCTAAAAGTTGATATTGGTAACGCCACAACACTTAAGTGTAGTTATTACTTAAGTATTCAAACACATTTGGTTTCTAGTCTATTCCTTTTCTTGTTGCAGATTCAATCAGTTCTAAAGAGTGCTGTCTGTATATATAATGCAATATTGGAGATATCTGTAGTATTCAAATTAAGTTTTCTATCAATATCATGTTCAACTATTTGCCCAACCTAATATACATAATATTTTACAAATTTTCAATAGCAACCCATTTAGACTTAATTAAAACTAGATCAAGAAGGCAGTAGAGAAGCCCACTTTCTTAACCTACATGTCCATTTTAAAAATGGTCATATAACTACAAAGGTTTAACATAAGCCTAATCTACAACCATTCTTTATCTCTTCAATGTCTAATGACTGATATTTATAAGAAAATGGTATTTAAGGCATGCCAAATGATACCACAATGCATTGGGTCATTTCTCAGCTTCATTATTATTAATTAAATTTAAAGTACAGTAGAACCTCGATTATCCGGACCTCTATTATCCAGATTCTTGATTATTCGGATTGTTCAAAATAAACAAAAATTTTACAAATTTGCTGATTTGCACTTGGCGAATTAAGATACTGTTTATGTACATGATGTAATGTATAAGTTTTTTTGTTTCAACAACATCTCACCCGGCACAGTGGCGGCCGTAAACTCTTAAATATATTTTGCGTCGTAATAAAAATATAACTTGACATACGTATTTATAAAAAATTTTATTTTCAAATTACATCATTTCTATGACCAAGGGCGGCGTAAGGCATGGGCAACGTGGGCCACCGCTTATGCCTTGTGGTCCGAAGGGCCTCGCTTTTCAAAGGTTTATGCATTACTTAAAAACCGCGAATGCGACAAAATTTTTACTCGTCATAAAACAACAAATAGTTTGTCGAATTTTTATTCATAAAAATACAGTTTCAACTGCTTTTTATTTTACTCCGTCTTCTTATGCCACCAGAGGGCCTTTTAAACAATAGGTAGTCTGTTAACATTGGTCAGTAGTAGTCCAAATTAAATATGAACGTTTGTTTCTTGAAAATTTGATCACGATTTAAATACAGTATTTACTTTTAATATTGCAGATATGTCATCGAAAAGAAAACGNTACAAATTTTCAATAGCAACCCATTTAGACTTAATTAAAACTAGATCAAGAAGGCAGTAGAGAAGCCCACTTTCTTAACCTACATGTCCATTTTAAAAATGGTCATATAACTACAAAGGTTTAACATAAGCCTAATCTACAACCATTCTTTATCTCTTCAATGTCTAATGACTGATATTTATAAGAAAATGGTATTTAAGGCATGCCAAATGATACCACAATGCATTGGGTCATTTCTCAGCTTCATTATTAATTAAATTTAATAAGAGATGGTGCCTAACATCTACCTCTAGTAACAAATTACTTTAAATTTAGTAAAGTAGCAGGAAATAGCCCAATGGATTATGGTATCATTTGGCATTAACTAATAATGTTGGGTATTGAGATGTTTATATAGGTATATTGTGCACTAATTTAAAGAGAGTTTACCAATTGCTCTTGCCTCAAGGACGTAATGCAAAAATTACAATGTCTAAAATGCATAGCTATAGCACACAGCTACTTTTATAAGTTAGTAGACAGGCTAACCCACACAATACAAGAAAACTTGAAAACTAGAGTTGTAAATACACAACCACAAATACAACAATGAAAACACATTGTGATTGACTTTGATCCCAGATTGAGCAAAGTTATTAAATCATATCCAAAAAAGTCAAATCTGATTTAGTATATAAACGTAATCCATCAGTATACAAAATATTTACCAAGAAGATCAATCATACCAGAACATCTGGAATGTACTTCATACTGCTGGTTGACAGCAGGTTTGATAGAAGGCTAACATAGGCTCTACAAATAGATTGTTGACACAAAGGATTTCAGAGCACAAATATGATACTAGAAACAATAAGCTTAGTACTTCTCTAGTACAGTATGCAAGTGAACTAGATATAATAACAAAATGGGATGAAGCCAAAATCATAAAATGCATATATGATAATTGCAAAATTAACCTTGGAGACATTGGAATATTTGTCAAAACCCTTAACCCACCAATTCCCATGTCAAATTACATTGACAGCAAAGATGCTGATTCCATATCGACATCATGGCATTCACTACTGGACAACATCTTAAAACAAAATGAGGTTATTTATCCAGTTCTGTTTACTTTCATTTATTTGGGACTGTTATTAAATACAGTAGATCCCCCTATAAAACCGTTTCCTATAGTTATGATTCCTATAAAAATTGTGGCAGTATCCGTAAACAACGGTAAAAATAACTCCTATAATACGTAAAACGTCATCGGGCAGCCGAACTACTTTCCCGCCGTCCGTAGCGCCACGCTACGGACGTTTAGGCGGATAAATTGAGTTTAGTATCGTCTGTTCATATAATTATATATAAATTAGGTACTGTACATATAATTATATATTAATTATATATAAATTAGGTACTGTATATATAATTATATATTAACTTAATTTATTGTAACTTTATTATAATTAAATATATATTTTTCGCCGTCTAGCGTCACGCTACGGCGAGTTAGGCGACCTATCGTCTGTCCAGTACTGTAATTTTATACATTTCTTGTGAAAGAAACATTTCTTATTTAACGGCCATAAAAATTATTTATATTAAGGATGTCTCCAAAGGTCAACGAAGTTTTCGCAGAAAAATAATATCAGAAATCGCGGCCGCGGTTTGATGCGCTGTTCCGCGACGAAACCAAGCTTTAGCAACGGGCGTAGTCGAACGGTACACACTCGGTAAGCAATCCTACAATTTTTTGTTTATAACGTAGTTTATACGGATTATTTTCAAAAAAATATACGTATTTTGGAAATGTTGAGTCGAATTAGTCTAGAATCGATTAATTTTATGAAAGAAAACCTTTCAAACAGCCGTAGTCCGTAAACTATGATTCCTACAAAATTGATTCATAAAGAACGGAACGTATCTACCGTCTTATAGGGGGATCTACTGTATATAGTAAATGTTAAGCACCTATACACATATTGCTGTTATATCAGTTATGCCACCAGGATCTCTGAGTAATTATTTTCTTTCAGAGATATTTAAACTTAGATATAAGCATTCACAGTTGCTCATGGTGCCGGCTGGGGACAACTACCCCCACGACTTATGTACTCTTCCACTACAGTACTAAGCCAACTATTGCTTTACCTGTCATGGTGTGTGTTTGTGTGTGTGTATATATATATATATATAATAAACATCCCAAAGCCCAATGTATTATTGATACTAAACCAAACTATCTCACTAATTAATTGGGTGATTATTTTGCTATTAATAGTAACTAGGTAAATGATTATATCTAAGTTAAGGTGACCAGATCTTCTGCTTTGGTGGGACAGTCCCGACATTTAGCAATTTGTCCCACGACATTTTAAAAAAGTCCTGAGTTTTGGAAAGATGTTTTTGTCAATTATGTATCAGAAACTTGTGTTTAAGATTTGTAAAGATCATTTAGTATCATACATATAAGAACAATGATGTGTGTGAGCATCGGAAATAAAGAATGCTGCACCAACAAAATCCTTTGTGTTTATGGCAAAGACCAGCAGAAAATGGTTTGAGGCAGCTGCAACAATGGAGCAGTGCATGTTCACAGGCTGTCCAAACAAGTATACATTTTGTTTGTTGCATGTTACATGGTGCAGAGCTCTCATCTGTTGCCACCTTAGAAAGCTAGTGACTAGCGAGAGTAAGTATATCGGTTTGCATTGTTCTATTGCTAGCAGTGGGGCTGAGGTTCATTTTGGTTACAACAGTATTATATAATAATAAAATTACAATAATAAAGTGACAAATTCAAGGCAAATTCAGAGAAAAAGTAATACAAGTTAGTATTATTATTATATAGATCATAAATCACAAGTAAGTGTTGAGACTTTGAAACCATGTTATGTGTGAAATAGAATTTAACAAATTCTTGTGAAAAATTTCATGACAGTTTAAATAACGATAGCAATCTACTAAAAAAATTCACTCAAATGAGAAATATGCTAAAGAATAGAGTTTTTAAAGATTTATAATAGTATATATATTTATTATACAGTAAGACCCCACTTAATACGGAATGTGTTCCTAGATAACAAAGCGCTAAGCAAAACAGCATTAAACAAGGTCATTTTAACAGAGTAAAT